ATACAAACAAATATCTCAACCAATGAGATTTGTGATTATGTCATAGATTCTTTTAGAATTATTACTTATGTCACGTACTGCTTCAACTTATAAAATAAAAGAGGAATGTGTATTAAATAGTTAAACTTTAGATTTATCACTTGAATTAAAAGAAGAACTTGATTCCTTGAAAAAAGTTACAAAAATATAAATAATTAAAGAATCCAATTGGTTAGTAGAATTTTTTCAACTATTGAATCATTCCATCTCTCGTTCACAAACAAGTTTCTCAGTTTCATCCATATAGGTTTGATGTTTATTGGTATGTAGAGAGTAGTAGTAAATAACTTACAAAAAGTCCTAACTGGAACTGAATGAATGAAAAGTAATTCACCTCAATAAAAAAGAAAATATTCACGTTTGATGATGATTATTGTTGAAAATTAAGAACTTTGAACATTTTGAAGTAGTCACTCATTGAATTCTCGATTAATAAATCAGCGACAAATGATTTGATTTAAGTCTTGAAGATTCTCAGTGCTGGTCTGAAGTGTTCCTAAGAAAAAAACGTGAAGACGTTACTATTTCCCCTATAGTTTTTAGACTTACTTTCATTGAATACTTTTACGATATTTTTCGAACAAAAATAGTCGTTTTGTTATGTATTACGATTTTACTAATTACCTGTTAAATACGAGATAAGATTGGTATTTGCCAGTCTTTGTACAACACCTAGAATTTTATTGAATTTTGAACTTTTCATTTAACTTTTGTTTGATAACATTGGTTTCACTATCCAACAACAATGACTTTCACTCTGTAAAAACCTAACACCAGTCACACTGGTCTTGATATCTACCGCTGAAATCGGCTTTACTCAGTAACTCTAAAATTCATTCTTTACGTAATATTGGCATTACATTATATACATTAAAATCTTCGATATAACTCTCGATAAATGTATGCCTTGTTTGCACGAGTTACAACTGATTGCCAGCTTTTTGATTTTCTGCTTTTGTCATTAAATGCAAGTTCATAGTTTTATCTTTTAGCTCTTCACGCAATACTGCCTGAAAAACGATAGATTAGCAATCTGAAGGCATTTAACTATTCTATGTATAGAAACGAATAGCATGTCTTTGGAATCAGACCAAGTCATTTGTTGTTCCCTGTGTTCGAAAACTATTCGCTTTTCATCTGTATGCATAAAGCCATAACTTTTTCAAAAAATAATCTTTTTTTTTCAGCACGATGTCACAGAACGGGGCTCAAGTTTTTCATCGGCTTTACTGGCAGTAAGATATAAATCTAAGAAGTACATTAAGTCTACTGTGTTTAATAAGAACGTCCCGTAGCTTTGTGATTTGCTTAAAAAACATTTTTAGGCTAGTTAATGTAGCCCATCAAAATCGATTGAATAAGTATTCTAAAAATATATGTTTTAGCGTTGACTGGGCAACAGATATGTTGTCAGCAGTAACAAATGTAATATCTATGCAAAACCATTTATATGCGTGTATTAATATGTGTGGGCATATCTCTCTTGTATGTTTCCTAAATGACAGTAACTCTTATTTTGACTTGATGTTAAAGATACGTATGTGACTTTATTCATCTCTGTGTATCATATTTATTTTTTGACCGAAAGTAAGGTCATTACTCATATTTACTTATTACTGTGATTTTTTAGTTTTGTAATTTCTGTTTCACGATATTTCATTGACCGCATCCGTTTTGTTACACTTTGCATTTTGGCCCCGTCAGACTAACTTAATATGCTCGATTGCTTAAATTTGAGTCGATTAAACTAGTCTATTCCTTGGGGATCGAAATGTACCTCTCGTTCGTTAAAAACCTTTACTCTTTCTAGTAAGTAATTAATTTTATATTGCATTACAACTTATCGAATTAGCATCTTATAGTTCGTTTGTACTGAGCTTTCGGTGCACAAAGTGAACTGTCACCTATTGGAAAATCCGTTCAGCGATTCTGGGTCTTTTGTATATTTTATACTCAACGTTTGTTAAATTAGAACTACTGATATAAACAACCTGTTGCATTTTGATCTGCTGGCTGTTCTAAGCTCACCTCTCAGCGATTCTGTGATGTTTTTGTGTAATAATTATCCCTCTGTACCTTACTCCATGCCTTTTACGAATCTCAAATACGATGCTTTTAATTGTGTTCATTAATTTCTGTCTAACTTAAATTAGACTGTTCTGGGAATTCTTAGTTAGCAAACCAATTTGACTACTTCTAACTTCCATAGATCCTCCGGTTATACAGACCACTCTCACATTCTAGGAACTTCGCCGCAGAAAACCAGTTATTAAGCTGCAACTAGATCCGAAGAATAGGTCTTGCTTTTTGAAAGGGGGGAGGTGTTGGAGTGATCCGGAAAATCGCTCGCAAAAGACAAGCAAGGATCAGGAAACACTAAGAAGCGTTTCATCCAGTCAGTGTTCACTTGAAGTTTTAGCCAAAATATCAAGAAAGTGAAACGTCAAATGCAGAGGTTCTGACTGGTTGATTGCTACACTGCTACTGTGTTTAGTAGCATTCCAGAATCTTCGAGCAACCCAAGGACATTAGAAAAATATTATGAAAACCCTGTATTTTCTGTATTATAATGAACCTTGGAGTAAAGTACTTCTCACATAATTTGCGTCTTCTCTCTCGTTGTTCAGGTCACTGTATAGTTCTAGCTTGAGGGTTACAGAATAGCTTAAGAAACGAATATAGCGTTCAATTCGCAAGACTTACCAACTACTATCAACTTATTTCCATCATATAAATAAACACTGAATTATTCGCATGTTTATCGTTCCTTTTAAACAGAAAATCAGATAAAGACAAATCAGATCTTCACAAAACCCCGATCATCAGTACTGTTAATTTTTCTATCACGCCTTCTAGTGTTACTAACCTGAAAATCCAAACCATTAGGCTGTAAAGTTATCTTGTAGTCAACCATATTTAGACACGGAGATTTAAATTTGGCTACACAAATGAACTCTCACCAGACGAAGTAATAGAAGGTATATGTGGCGTTTTAACTATTCAAATAAGATAAACTGCATGTAATGAGACAAACATTAGTCTAACGAATTTCTTTAACTGACCGACTTTCCAATTAGGCGAAAATTGGCAATAAAAGTCTGTCATAGTTTAAAAACCATGTGAAACGTTTCGCGGAGTATGAGAAGGTATACAGTGGTTTATTCTACCAATTGTTGCCCAACCGGCTGTCGCCCAGTATACAAAAGACTCTAGCAGTTTGAAGCAAGGGACTCAGATGAACAGAAAACGGAATCTGTGACAATACAGTACAAACGAGTCGCTCTGTACATAAAATGATAGTAGACGACAGAATCGTTGCGTTAAATGAACAGGTGAATATTTCATTTCCAAAAGTGACTAAGTTGACACAGAACGACAGACCACGGAAATGGTCACAGGGCAGATCGTATACCATAATTCTATCACTCTCCAGAAAACACAACCCACTAAATATGCTGGTATCGTTATATGTGTCATAGAAAAACCAGAAGATATATACTTATAGGTTTAAGGCTAGATGACCAAGAAGCGATATAACCGATCTCTGGTGGCGACTGCTCCGTCCGCCGTAACTTCAATAGATGGTCGTTTGCTTTACATACAGAACCGAGCGACGAGCCCACATTTCTTAGTCGGCTTGTAAGATGACGTCAGTGTTGTGTGGCTCTCAAAAGAAAAGAGGGGGGAATGTTAGTACGTACTTGTACTAAGAGGAGCAAAGATGAAAGATATAGAAATTGTGGCAAGTTTAAACTCATGTTGAATGTCTATACAGATAGCCCGTATTTATTGGGAAATGGCTGCGGTAGATGTATTCCGGTGTTAAAAACAGTAATAAATCGGTCATTGTTTGTGGGCCTGATAGTGGAATAAATCATGAAAATAAGTAGGGTAGATTATAACAGATAATGATCTGTTGTGCCGATAGAATATAAGAATACCAAATGGCGAAATATGAATATGCCTTAATGAGCCTCGGTAGAGTAAATAGCGTCCATAAGCTACTAATTGATATGCATTTACACGGTATGGAGTTTCTGTTTGTAGGACAAGAATAATCAGGCCATAAAATGATAACTGCAACAAAGGATGAACTAAGTATCTAACTTAGTTGAACGACTCAAACTCTTATCCGGAGCATTTAGCGAAGTCAGTACAGCAGTGAAATGGACATGCTCAAGTCGTACTATCTTATCTGCACTTTGTCCCCGTGTCGACCATTCTCATTTATACATTTGGTGGATCATTTCATTATGATCAAAATAATCGTAATATTCTCATTTTTACATTATTATCATATCCGACCTCTGAAAAGCAGTAGTGGCTATTCTGGATTACCCAGAACTGACCACAATCGGGAAGTTACGCACGCTTAACGGATTAGAATGTTTCTATAGACGGTTCATATCAAACTGAAACTTCTAACCGACCAACTTCGTGGAAATACAAAATCCATCACTTCGGACGATGTCGCGAGAAAAAGATTCTCCACAGTTAAGGAACTTATCGCTAAATCATCCATGCTAGCACAACAGGACACCTAAGTACCCATTAGTATCGCAGTAGATGCATCCAACTCGGCAATTTCAGGAGTCTTACAACATTGGGTTAACCACACATAAGAACATATGGCACTCTTCTCAGACAGTTGATAGGCACCGAATCAGGGTAAAAAAGGTTTCGGTTGAGAACTCCTAGCCATGTAGTGCGCTGCAAGGCACTTTCAATACTCGGCTGAAGGCAGAGAATTCACTCTTTACACCTACCACAAAACTAATTTTACTTAAGGCTCCTCTTCAAACAAGTACTCCCTTCAAGAGCTTCGGCAAGCAGACTACATTTCCCAGCTTACTCCATACACACGAGCATTGCGTAACACTCAACAGATTCACCAAAACATCTTACGTCATTATGCACCTCCCCTTCTTTAACTTTGAACGCTGAGTTCCCGCCGTAAATGCAGTTGTTCAAGGTCGGGTTAGGGAGGAAGATTTGAGCGATCTTGATTTACGTACTGTGCTAATTTTCTCGATTTTCTTGCTTATATGGAATCTCTAATACCAGTCATTAACAAACTACAGGACGTTTTTAACACAGTGGGTTCTGAAACAATACAACTGCCTCAAATCGTTGTTTTGGGAACACAAGTAATTTTGCACAGTTTATTTTTTCAATAAATTATTGAAGTAACACTTAGCTTTAAAGTTAAATTCTGTCTCATATGTTGTAAAAATGTCATATGAAATTTAATAATTCCAATTTGCTCGTGGAAAGCTTTTGTGTTTTCACATGTAATGTTTCTCGTCAATAAAACTGTGGATGTAATGGCAATGTTTAAGATCATGGAGATTGTCCCCTATATGAACTAATATTTTGAACTACTTATGACGTTATGGTTGGCTCCTCTGTGTGTTCACTGTGGTATCTTAACAAGGGTCAGCTTGTATCTTCTGGTTGCTTTGGACGGGATAGAATCTTTCGCATAACGGGCTTATGTACCTAGTAGCAGTGGATCACCAATGTCCCTAGGTAGAAACATAGGTATATCTAACACCAAAAGGGGACATCTTAGTAATCTAAAATACTACCATAGATCCTTAAGGATAGGTCTAGCTTTCTCTTGATAGACTACTGGGAAGTCGCTTGAACCAACTCAGCAGAGAATTTCAGAATTTGACTTGAGTCAACAAGTGTCAAATGTATTATTCTTGGTATTTTTTGAGGATCAGTTTGGCGGAAAGGGATTCAGAATGTTTGAACAATTTTTGGAACCTAAAGTCACACTTATATGCAGGTGTCCTGCGTTTGATTTTTGAGCTGTATGCTTATCCTCAGGCTCTTAGTTTTAGGACAAGGTCTGCAATGTTTTTCTAATTTTCTTAATTTTTTTAAATTTTTACTCAAGTCAGTCAGCGGACCGAAAGTTTCCGTCAGTTGATTTTTCAATATAAAATATTTAACCTTTGTCGTTACGCTCTGTTTTCAGCTTTTGAGCTGAAATGTTCACATCCTCTAAGTTTTTCTAACCTACTTTTAAGGAAAAGGGAAGACATATCAAGTCTACAATCATTTGTTAGCACCTTATTCGTTATGATCAAATGGTCTGCCAGTCTATAATAAGATAGCTTACATTGATATAATTCTCGATTTCATAGTATCAAAGGTGTATGACAAACTTCCACAAACAGGTAATAGCAGTAATAGGTACTTGTAGAAATCCGATTCCCTAGAGACTCCATAATTCGTCTAGGTCATTCAAAGAGAAAGTTATGGATTTGGTGTTTAAAATAAATATTGTTAGTAGGCTTCACAGCCCCTAAACGCAGCTTCATACCGATGGATTGGTCTAAAGTCTGCGTGCAAAGATGAAAATAAAGTAGTTTTACCGTGTGAATTAAATTTCATTTCAGTCTGTTTTGCCTACACTTAGCGGTAATCAGATTCTTGATTTCACTGAAGTTTATATACATCCAATCGATATACCTTATACAACATAATGAAAAGGTAGTCAGTGTATGACGTGTCGTGGTATGAAAGAAGGCTGTACAAGACCGGGATCTGCTGATCATTTACGATTCCCTGGTTAGGGTTTCAGAGATAGTGCAATACTGGCTTGGAAGGCTACCAGATATGTCTGAAAATAGAAGCCAGTGGTGGGTCTGCTATAACTTTCTCTTACTTTCTTCATATAGGTGTGAGGAACTTGTTTAACCGAAAGAATCCTTTCTAGTTGTATTTTTCGTAAGTGAACCGTTCCTGACATTATTACCGTTCCTGCTAGTATTTTTCCTTTCATACACTAATTTCTATTCATTTTCGTTCGTTTTTTATTATTCTAACCTTTCTTTATCTTCACAATCTTGTTTTTATTGCGCCTCATATATTCTGGTGCCTTTTTGTACAAATGTTTGTGCTTAAAAAACAAAACAGATAATGGAACCCGTAAAGTATATTATCAGTCGCTATCAGATGTAACTATAGGCTGTATGTTATTTTTTAAATCCAGCCGAGTAATCGTATAAAAATCCAGTAAATCTTCAGCTCACCAATTCTAAACGCGGTCAGTTTTTTGCTCAATAATTTTCCTATTATTTATTTCGGGAAGGCTTATACGAAGAGTGTTTAACTTCCAGTTTCTAAATCCCTGGTTCCAACCTCTCACCACCTTAGGTCTGAGCAATCAGGCAGTATCATTAGCCCTCACATTTCGAGTGTGGTTCTTACCCCAGTACCTGGTGAATACCAATTTATTTTTTTAATAAAAATTTTACATACCTTTGTCTAATCGCCAACAAACTATTGGTAAGCTTTACAATCACTGTGACCACTAAATTTGTTCGAGGAACACATTATTAGCAACATGAACTCATTAACTGCTCGTCCAAGTCGAATGTATATGCTCAGATTTCCTGGTTTTGGAGACTACTCGAAATCAATGGTTGGTCAGTCAGTCAGCTACAACGTAGGACCAGGCATATATATGCATCGATCCAAGTTGCCACACCTCATTAGCACAACAAGATGAATACCGAATTCATAGTTGTTACTTCAATAATAATAATATATAAAAGGACGATTGTGTATAAGGATATAATGCAGAACGAAGGAATCAGTTGGTAGAAAGAAAGGTAGAAAGCAATTCTAATCTCGCGGTTTAAGGAAAGACAGAGATTGTATACACCTATACTATTGTGATCGATTCTGAGCCATGTCACCTAGGGTCTCCAACCATTGGTTACGATAGTCACATGGACCCCAACCAACTAGTTTGCATCTACCAACATGGCTCACATCAGAATTTAGTGACTTCAAGCACTGATGCCACGTTTTGGTTTAGTCGCCCTCAACTTTCTTCCAACCATCTACAACACGTGTCGGCATTGCATGTCGTGGTAATCGACGGTTGGGTTTGCGTAACACTGTGGTATTGAACATCCAACATTAGTGTTGATTTTGCTTTAGTGTTAATTATTTGAATTATATAAGTTTTTCACTTATTCTTCAAGTCTTTCGTGGTCCTCACAGTAAATCGGCTATTTTTCTATTTTTCCCTCACCCCCGAGTTTCTAAGTGAATAAAGGGAATAAAGTGATTTTCTTTCTTACTCTTATCTCTTATTTAGAGCTCTGGGAAGAGTTCAGTCCTTGAAAACTTAGTTGGTCGCGATTTCCTGCCTAGAGGACATGGAATTGTGACGCGGCGACCACTTGTTTTACAACTTATCCATGTAGATGAGTCAGACCATGCTACACGGGTCGCGGAAGGTGATGGTACTTCAACTGAATGGGCAACATTCCTACATACAAAAAAGATATACCGGGATTTCGATGAAGTTCGTAATGAAATCAAAAGCGAAACTGATCGGGTTGCCGGGGCTGGAAAAGTATGTTTCGTTTAATTTACTTTCGATATGGGATATATTATTTCTACCTTACGCTGTGTAGTTGTAGCATAAAGTGTACTGATAAATTATTTGAATCAATACATGATGATTCAGTGATGATTTTTTGCAAAGCTTATAGTTTCATGCAAAGTTTATAACTAGAGAGAAATCAGTATGCAAAACAATTGATTACCACGTTTTGTTCTCTTGTAATTTGTTCACAACGAAAGTATTGAACACAATATTCAAGGAATTGAATTAAGATTCTAAACTTGATGAACAAACACTAGTAGGCCAGCTTTTACTGACTTACGCCTGTCAACCCTCGTGGAGGGGTATAGGCTACCCACTAGTATTTTCCAACCAAGTCTGTCCTGGGCTTTCGTTCCCAACCATTTCCTATTATTATTATTATTATTATTATTATTATTATTATTATTATTATTATTATTATTATTATTATTATTATTTAAACAAAGGGGCACTGAATACATATGCGCCACACAAGCCATTTGATTTGTGTGTGGGCTGTGATACTGCTCGGGTGCCCAAACCGAAGCAGGCGGTTTTCTTAGGGGGCCATACCCGGAGCCTTCGACCTAAAGGTCTGATCCGCAAGGCAGTGGAGCAACGTAAGGGGATTCAGCCCCATAGTAGCCGGTGACCGGCGATTGGTTCATATTCCATTTGTTCTCTTAGGATCATGGAGACCATGTGCACCATTGGTTTCGTTTCATTTTAAGAGTTTCTACTGCGTTATCACCTAATTTGTATTTCAAATCTCGTATGCAGACTTTCCAGTTGCAGTCAGTTTTACTAGGCGTTAAATTTTAACAATTCTAGTAAAATCCTTATATTACTTTTAGGCTGTAAGCTCCGAGCCGATCAACTTAAAAATATTCAGCCCACGTGTTCTCAATCTCACTTTGGTCGATCTTCCTGGCATTACAAAGGTTCCTGTTGGTGACCAGCCTGAGGATATTGAAACATTGATCAATGATTTATGTCTTCATTACATTAACAATCCTAACAGTATAATTTTAGCTGTTACACCGGCCAATGCAGATATGGCTACTAGTGAAGGTCTTAAGCTGGCCAAAACAATCGATCCTGATGGTAAGTCATGTCTACTTGATGGAGCATAGCACATGTAAAATATGTTATCCAATTATCGAAGAAGCTAAGACAGAATAATATTTTATAATGGGCGAAATTACTTATAAATCTGTCCTTGATAATTTGAGATTAAATTAACTCAGTTTTTTCTAGATTTTCATGAAATTTCTTTAATCATATTTTTAACTTAAGCATTTCAATGATAGATATTGTTAATGAATGATATTTAGTTTGTAGTTCAGTTGTTTAGTGCATAATATCATGGCAGTTAAAGTAATATCCATTGGGGTCCAGGTACACGTAGTTATTAATTTTATTAAAACAACGTAGGACCTAGTACGTATATACATCGGTTCAAGTTGCCATATCACATTATCACAGTTAGATGAAATTGTTAGGACGAATCCTAGATTAATAGTGGTAGTAACAGTATAAGTGGTAATAGAAAAGATTAGTATCGAAGATACGGTCCAAGGACATATAAATCAATGGAATAAAGAAAACTATGAGGAGTTCAGAAGCTTAGAATCTGGTAGAAGACAGAGAGTGAATACACCTGCTTCACTGCGAACGATTCTGATCCATTTCATTCAAAATCTCTAACTATTTGTTAATCACACGGATCCCAACCAGATAATCTACACCTATTAACATGGTTTAGTCCAATTGTCGATGACTTGATGGACTGATGCCATGTTTTCGTCTGACCATCCCTAACTTTCTTCCAGCCTGCTCCTATACCAGACAATAACGCCTGTCGAGGTAAGCTTTGGCTGAACATGCGTAACACATGTCCAAACCACACCAGTTGATGAAGATTTACTACCTCACTAATCGACTTACTGTCTTCACTCAACAACCTACCTCCAACCCATCTTTTGCTTACTAAGTAGTACACGAGCAATGTTTCTAAGACACGTATGATCGAATACTAGTGGAGTGCTACACAGTATACTCATCTTTTGGTTGGTAGAAGAATACATTGCCTACGCCACAGATTATTAACTTCAAAACATTACGAATCCCATCGCTACCTGTTAAATATATCATAAGAATCAAATACTGTGTTGAATCATTTATAGTGGAACTAGTATATACAAATGCCAATCAAACATCTCAGTCCCAGATACCAACGTATAAGCGTACAGACAATTTTGTGGTTGGGAGGATAATTTCGTTTCTGATAAATCCACATACTGTTTCTTCAAGTCCCGATTGATAAAAGTGAGATCCAGTGATACCTTTTGGGGAATATTTGTCATAATACTGAACAATACAAGAACAACAAGATTCACAGAATAAAATGAATTTATTATGCTTTGAGGCTTTTTATCATCTGCTAATACCCTAAAGTGATAACGAACAAAGATTTGGGATACTTTAGTTAGTACTATTGGGACGAAAGTTTGGGATGCATTAAACTGTTAGAACAATAATGCACAAAAGTTGTGTCAGATATTATAGTCGAGATAGATGCATATATTATGCGTGAAAATTTAGTAATGTAAATTAGGCTAGGTGAGCGAGATGTAGTGATAATTACTGAAAAGAACAAGTAGTTATATAATTAACCGACACGTTTAAAAGAAATCAATTTAATAAATGAAAGTTAGTGTTTGGTCAGAAATGAAATTATATGTTAGGTGCTATTGTTTCTCGATAGTTATTTCTTGCAGAACGAAGTGCTTATTACCCTCTCCTTTATACACAGGTTTTAAACGTTTGAGGGGAATGACCTCTCCTAAGTAAATAAATCGTGATTTTTCTCATTGTTGACTATTCCTAAAGTTTTAAAAATATCCACTTTTATCCATTATTCATTAACTGGAGATATTTACGTACTATGGGTTTTTTTAAAAATTTTGTTTATTCCACTTAGGCCGCCGAACTTTATGTATTCTAACTAAGTTGGATCTAATGGACCATGGAACAGACGCCCACGATCTTTTATTGGGGCGTGTTGTTCCAGTTAAACTCGGCATAATTGGTGTTGTCAATCGTTCTCAAGCCGATATTAAGGCGGGTAAAAATATTGACGAGGCATTACAAGATGAAGCCAGTTTTCTGCAACGACGTTATCCATCTCTTGCTAGTAGGAATGGCACCCCATTCTTGGCACGGACATTAAATAGAGTATGTTATAACACTATTGTATTATAATTTTATATATATAGGAGTTTTAACTACGCTGTGCTAACTGCTACCGAATAAATTACTCTCCAATCCGTAAATCATCTGTTATTGAAAAAATATAATGTACACCAATTCCGTTGTATGTGGGTTTAGCGTAAATCATAGCAACTAAATGAAACATTTGTGATCAGATCTTTTAGTTCTGTTCATCCAACTGCGAACTGTATACTAACGCGTTTAGGACGTTGACTAGTCACAAGAGAAGTAAAGGCAGAGAGAGTTAGTAGTATGGGCAATGAACGTTTAAAGAAAACACTCAAATGTCTGATACAGAATTCCTACACCTTTTTTGTAATAAACTTCCAACATCTATAGATCATCAGACTCTGAAAAAGTAAGAAAACTGCAAGACGAATACATTATTTGTTTTAAATTAGTTTCTGTACATGAACCAACATCTATTTATTTCGTTATAATCTGATATGATATTTTGTAGACTTCTAGATCAGCTGTACAATTTGTTAACAATTTTTGTGTTTGTCTAATCGTATTAGAAAAAAGTGTACCCTTATAGAAAATTAGTTGTTGTTTAGGTATTAATTTGCCGGAAGATGTTTAGACATATTCAGAATTTTGTAGAAATTCAGGATTTGGATTCATCCATCTATTAAATCATATTATTGGCTTGCCCGAGACAGTGATTTAAATGAGCTCAATGTTTACTTTTCTAATACTACATACTTCCTATTTTTTTAATTCTATGTAAAGTGGATGTTTAATTTTAATTTTATTAGTCGATGCAGATTATATTCATGAACTTTAGAGCGATATTGTTGCATACTTACGCCTGTTACTCCCAATGGAGCATAGGCCACTGATCAGCATTCTTTAACCCACTCTGTCCTGTGCCTTGCTTTCTAGTTCCATCCAATTTTTGTTCATTTTTCTCATGTCTGTCTCCATTTCTCGGCGTAATGTTTTCTTTGGTCTTCTCCTCCGTTGGCCTTGAGGATTCCAAGTGAGAGCTTGCCTTGTGACGCAGTTGGGTGCTTTCCTCAATATGTGTCCTATCCACTTCCAGTGCTTCTCCCTGATTTCTTCCTCCACCGGGATCTGGTTTGTTCTCTCTCACAGTAGGTTGTTGCTAATAGTGTCTGGCCAACGGATCTGAAGTATTTTGCGTAGAAAGCTGTTCCCAAACACTTGTATCTTCTGGATGATGGCTTTTGTAGTTCTCCAGGTTTCTACCCCATACAGTAGAACTGTCTTGACATTTGTATTGGAAATTCTGACCTTGATGTTGGTTGACAGTTGCTTTGAGTTCTAGATCTTCTTCAGTTGTAAATATACTGCTCTTGCTTTGCCGATCCGCGCCTTCACATCTGCATCAGATCCACCGTGTTCATCAATGATGCTGCTCAAATATGTAAGGGTTTTTACATCTTCCAAATCTTCTTCGTCAATTGTGATTGGATTGGTGTATGCTGTATTGTATCGGAGAATCTCGCTTTTCCCTTTGTGTATGTTGGGACCTACTGCTGCTGCTACACTGGTGCGATAGAAGAGCCAGATCATCTGCAAATTCTAGGTTGTCCACTGTATCCCATGCTTCCCCCCAGATGTTGACGTCTTTATGAATCAGTCGATCACCAGGAGAAAGAGAAAGGGTGAGACTAAGCAACCTTGTCTGACACCGGTTTTTACGTCGAACAAGTTTGTCAGCTGTCCTCCATGCACGATTTCGCAGTTTAATTTATCATAGGAATTCTGTATGATATTGACTATCTTCTCAGGCACTCCGTAGTGTCGAAAAAGCCTCAGTAGTTTTGTCCTGTTCACACTATCAAATGCTTTCTCGTAGTCAATGAAGTTGATGTAGAGTGACGAATTCCATTCGGTTGATTGTTCCACAGTGATCCGTAGTGTTGCAATTTGGTCTGTACACTACCGATCCTTATGGAATCCAGCCTGTTGGTCTCGGTGATGGACTTCTACGGAGTCCTTCATTTTGTTTAACAAAACCCTGTTGAAGACTTTTCCTGGTATTGAGAGAAGAGTGATGCCTCTGTAGTTCTCACACTTGCTGAGATCGCCTTTCTTTGATATCTTAATCAGGTGTCCTTTCCAGTCTGTTGGTACTTGTTCTTCATTCCAAATCTTGCTGAAGAGAATATGGAATGTCTTTGCAGTTACTGCTACGTCTGCTTTCAGTGCCTCTGCTGGGATGTTTTCTGGTCCCTCTTTTTTGCCGATCTAGATTTGTCTGATGGCCATGCTGGTCTCTTCAATTGTTGGTGGGTCAACATCAATTGGGAGGTCCGTGGGTGCTGCTTCGATTTAGGATTGGTTTATTGGGGGTGGTCGATTCAAGAGTTCCTTGAAGTATATATTAGTCGTAGGTCCTGCATTAAATATGTTTACTTTCTGCGAGATTGTATTTTGAATTTTCAACATTGCGTCACGCTAAACCACTTTGTGAAGCCTACAAAAATAAAAATTTACCATAAAATTATAAAACCTAGTCAGAAATATGTCATATTAATTCAGAATCGATTACCAAAACAACCAATATAATCAATTGTCATGAAATTTTACTGTATAAGGTCAGCTCACTGAAAACTCAGTCAGGCACCTAAAAAAGGACAGTAAATTCATTTTATCTAAATTATTTGCTGCATCTGGTAAGTCTCATTTTATGGTAAACATTAATCAATACTATGTATATTTTGTACTAGAAAACATACTTTAATAAATTGGAATTTTGTGTAATAGTAGTCGTAAACATCAATGTTCTAGGAAGTTCTGTTGATTTATTACAAGTCAATGTTACTTTATGATTATGTTTTTATATTATGTTATATTTTTTAAAGCTTTTAATGCATCATATACGGGATTGTTTGCCAGACTTGAAAACACGTGTGAATGTAATGGCTGCACAATTTCAGAATCTTTTAAATACATTCGGAGATGAAATCGAAGACCGAGTAAGTTTATCGCTTTATGTTTACCCTTCCTTTAGTCTTATTCTTCATGAAGTAAAATACTTTCACTTGAAGTTCCCTATTATCATCCATTTTTTAATATCGATTCAGCGTATGTGAAAATATTTTCATGAATCATGCATCAAATGTAAATAATTACATTTTGTTTCGTAGCATGAAGCTTTTATTTAAATGTGGCCAATATTTTGGCTAACACCTGGACTAATGATAGTTTACTTCCAGTTTTTTTTTGTTTATTATTCTGGTATTATCCTCCTTACTACTATTTTTCTGTCGGGTGATTATTTTAGCTTCATAACATCTTTTAAGGTGAGAAAATGGAAATTCGGGATCTTTTTGCTATTTTATCGACTTCATTTCTCTATTTCTAATATATTCTTGTACATAGTTTTACCAGGATAATATATTATTCGTTATCAGTATAGGGTTGTGGAGATTGTTACGTTTTAATTAAGATCATGAAGCGATTAATGTTACACCACCATTGAAAACCCGGAAGCACTGGACTGCCGTTTTGTTCTAATATGGGACTCCTCAGCACTGCGATTCCATGATCCCGAACGCGGACTCAAACTCAAGACTTTCGGTCTCATGCGCGAACGTTCAACCTGTAAATTTTTACTTCAACTAGTGGAAACTTATGCATACTATCTATATCTAACTATCTATCCATTACATGCAAATTTAAGATAAACGTATTACAAATAAATGTACCCTGTGATATTAAGTTGGCTGACAGCTACCTACTCACTCAGTCAGTCAGCTAAAACGTAGGACCAGGCACATATATGCATCGGTCCAAGTTGCCATACCTCATTAACACAACAAGATGGACACCGGATTCATAAAAGTAGTTAATTCAGAAGTGGTAATATATAAAAGAAAGATTGAAATAAGGATATAATACAGGAAGAAAGAATTAGTTCGTAGAAAGAAAGATATGAAGCAATTTTAATCTCTTATTTTAAGAGAAGACAGAGAGTGTGTACACCGACGCCACTGTGATCGATTCTGAGCCATGTCACCAAGAGTCTCCAACCATTGGTCGCGATAGTCACGCAGACCCAACCAAGTAGTCTGCATCTACCAACATGGCTCAGATCAGAAGTTGATGACTTTATAGACTGGTGCCACGTTTTGGCTTGGCCGCCCCTAACTTTCTTCCAACCATCTCCAGCACCGGTTAGCATTGCACGTCGTGGTAATCGGTGTTCAGGCATACGTGGCACGTGGTTCAACCATCTTAGTTGAGGAAAATTTACAACCTCATCAACTGATTTACCATCATTCCCTAATACCCTGCGTCTAATTTCACTATTACTTACCCAGTGATCCTAGCAGATGCGAGCAAAATTTGTAAGGCATCTGTGATCGAACACTAGTAGCTTACGAGCATCTCTTACCCTTACTGGCCACGTTTCGCAGCCGTAAAGTAGAACAGGACGAACTGCCGTGCAGTATACTTGTCCTTTTATTGATAGAAATATCTCGCTTTCGCCATAGATGACGTGAGTTGGCAAAAGCCAAACGAGCTTTTCGAATCCGTGCTGAGATTTTGTCAGACACCAACCTATTAGGGCTGATCAGACTTCCAAAATCAATGAAGTTGCCAACGCGTCTGACCACTTCACCCCCTATCCTTAGTTCAGGTATTGACACAGACCAGTCCTGAAGCAACAACTTTCATTTAGAGGGAGAGAAGCGCATTCCAAACATTCTAGCATTGTTGCTTAGTGCTACCAGAAGACTCTGCATCTTATCAGCGTCCCTACTCACTGACTTGTATTAGCTTATAATTTCTTTTTACAAGTTCAGAAAATATTCCTAATAGATAACTTAATGTACGACGTTTTTAAGCTATCTTCGATTAATGCTGTAGTGAACGAAAACATAAGGCTGAACAATCAAATGTATCTGAACACAAAATTACAAAATCACCTTAGTAAAATTTGAAAACCATACAGTAAATACTTAATTTGCAAAATATCAATCAATCGTCTCCGACTTCACTGTTCCCTCATTTCCACACCGAATATCCTCTGTTCTCGTTCTCTTTTCTTCGATCTTCTTAACCCTCTGCTGCCAGGTATTTCACTTTCAATTGATGATACATATTACTTATATCTATCGACATCAGTAGCATCCACCACAATGTTAGAGCAACATGATGCTTCGGAATGAAAGAAGGCTGCTTCATTTCTTATTTTCAGGCGTTACTTAACGAGAATAAATATCCTTGCATAAGTAGGTTAATAGTTGCGTTTTTGAAATATTAGTTATTGTCGTTTAAAGAAGGCTTAGATAACGCATTAGATACTGGATTACTAAGTATAGACCAGATTTTTCGAAGTAATCAATCTAATAATGTGAATATGTTCATCCATCAGGTCGTCAAAGCCCGTATTACAAACGAATAGCTATCTTATTTCTTGAAATAAAACCTGTCTTTGTCTTCGATTTTTTGACTAGAACTGTTCTGTAAAGTCGTCTACTATTGATGAGATGTACTTAAACTTTCGTCTATATATTCATGACCTGCTTCGGTCTGGGCACCCGGGCAGTATGACAGCCCACACACACACACAAATATGGTGTGGCGCATATATATTTGGTGCCCTCTTGTACCAATATTTATGTGTTGAAATAAAATAAAATAAATATATTCATGAATGCCACAATTAGAGTAAGATTCTGTGGCTAATAGTAATTGACGCTTAAAATCTAATTACATACATAGTATTTAAAGTGAATTTATTAATATGATGATTGCGTCTGCTTTACACCTTAGAATTCTAAAGAAGTTTTATGGAAATCGGTAATTCTACTCACCTTCATTGGTGTATTTTTGAGGTTAGCTGAAAGCCCCATATATCACAGTATTTATTGTATTACTGTCTCTTCTTGTGGCCAAATCCAATTCTAAATAAATCTATTTTTTCGGAAGTTTATTTTTATAATGGTGTAAATCTTTTAAAATCATGAACTTCATTTATTTCGTCATCCCTTACATAAGTAATACAACGCGTTTTTAGTCTACTTGTAATTTCTCTAACAGTTGACTGGGAAAATTTCGCTAATTAAAGAAACAAACGATCTCTAAAGTTTTATATATCACATAAACATGATGACAGTTGGACTGTATATACGGGTCAATATGAGTGTCAAATTGACTCTTCAAATGTTCAACTACTGATTTTCTGCTACTCACGTTGCTGACTGTATGTATGTCAGTTTAACAAGTTCCTATTAGAACGTTTACAGACTATTCAACCTGGTTTACCAGTATTGCATTTTGTCAACATTTTTAATAACCTTTGGAATCGACTATTGAATCCGAAGAGCCTGTTAGTTTACTACATATGGAATGTATGGAGTTAAGTGCCATTAAATCAGATTATTGTCTGTTCATCACGCTTCCTGGTACAATGTGACACAAAGTATCTTGACCCCAAACCGGTTGCAGTGGCTCAGATTTTTAACTTAGGATTAGACTTTGTAGCTATTACGCTGTTATTTTGTTTTATATTTATATATTAATACCTATCCAGGTGCTTCTTTTCCCGATTGTTTCTATTATTTCTTATATTCTTCCTCTTCCGATACCTTTATAATGTTTTTATGTACTTTCTATGTGGTGTGTCTTGATACGTATCCTGTATTATGTAGCGTTATTGAAACTAGGAGTAACTGGAATACCCAGGGTTAAAAGTTCGAATTTTAGGACGACAATTATTTAATACATATAGACTTTCCCGAATTTTTAACCAGTTACAGTGAATGATATCTGTTCTAAAGTGTATGTTACGTTGATTTTTTCAAATATTGCTGTATCTTTGTGAGGACCTTGTGTCCTACCGTCATAGCATAGCGAGTAAATATGTTTCTAGTTGATTACACGTTAGGTGTTTATCATTGTAAGTAAACAAATGATTCAGATATAGAAAACTATTCCTTCCAGTTAATCCATTGATTTTATTTTACTGTATAACTTGATTGCTAACTTCCAAACCTACCTGTATATAATACTCAGTTATTAGAATCATTTTGATAGCGAGTCAGAAAGTAGGGGAGATAGAAATTAAATAGGTCATTGATTTTTATTATAATTCACTGGAAATCCACAAATAAAACTTAATGTGAGTGAATGCTTAACCTGGTTGTTTGCAAACTTAAAGGTTGAAGTGGGACTTATTTTTTAAAGTAAATATAACGACAGTGATCGTTCATAATTTATGTGACTTTTAATGGTTGGGAAGACTTTCAAAGCCATAGCGATTACTGAAGATTCCGTTGTTTAATCAGGATTCGTAAAAAAACTAATCTACACGAATTGAATCGATCGATGCTATTTGATAGTGTTCTGTTTGAAAACACATAATAACTAAGCCTTCCAAGCGATAGACTGTATTTTTGAAGCGATTCTTAACTCAATAACTCGGGAACAGTTATGAAAACTAGCATATAGAATACTGGCAGTTTTCATTTTAAATCAATCGATTCAATTTAAAAGTAACTAGTTATTTGCGGCTACAGTTAGTACGAAGATCGGTCTGTCGCTCTTTAACTTTATTTTTGGAGGATGTAACATACTAAATATATTCAATATTTTAATTAATAAGAAACTTTTCATGTATGTAAAAATTCGAATTCGCCCAATTGAATCTTATGCGGTTAGTTGCAGATGTCTATGCCAGTGAGGAATTAACTTGTGAATATATTAAAATCCAACTTTTTGTTATATCGTTGCGAAGATTCAGAAATCCAACTCTTCTCTCTAAGCTTATTTATTAGAACATCACTTATTGTATATTTTAACTTTATAGGGACAACTTTTGCTGCAGATTATTACAAAGTTTAATACTGCTTATTGTAATACAATTGATGGAGTTGCGAAAGATATTGAAACGACTGAGTTGTGTGGTGGCGCTCGTATTTGTTATATATTCCATGAAACTTTCTATCGAACGTTGAGTAAAATCGATCCTTTGGGTGGTTTATCAACTCTTGATATTCTAACCGCAATACGAAATGCTACTGGGCCAAGACCTGCTCTATTTGTGCCAGAGGTTTCTTTCGAATTGTTGGTAAAACGACAAATCAGGCGTTTAGAAGAACCGAGTTTACGATGTGTTGAATTAGTCCATGAAGAAATGCAACGCATCATTCAACATTGTGGTGCTCAAGTGAGCAATATATTAAATCTAGATATTTTTCGGCGTTATTCTATTTTTGTGTAACCATTCTATATATTTGGAAAAGATATTGTAAAACTGCTATTTAGCTGTTTACCACTATAATTGTATACGTTTCCTATCCTTTTGTACGACAGTCGTTGGCTTATAGTTGTAGCACTTTTGACAGCCCACATTAAGTGCCAACTTTTTTCTATCAATCAAACTAGAATTCAAATATATTCATATGGATAAATAGTGTACGTTAAATTTTGATCGTTGTTCGAAAATAACAATTAACATGGCGAAAAATGAATTTCTGACGTTTTGCTACCGGGTGTAAGTCGTCGCTTCAAAGAATGGATGAATGGAATTAAGCTAACATAATATTTTATTATTATTACTCGAAACGTCTGAGATTCAATGTTCTATTCATTGGAACATTAATATGTTTTCTTTATTATCATAAACAATGCACTCAATACTGGACCTTTTTTTATTTCCTCTAATTTAACCTTGATAATAATACAATTAAAAACAAACATTTTGACCAGAACTTTGGTAAATTATCCGATTTCTGAGTAAAAGTATTCAAATATCTATTCATATTTGCAGAACCAATAACCATTATTCAAGCTTCTCATCTATGAAAACTTGTTTGGAAACAATATCGTTTGGATCACTTCAGTGTTACCTTTTAGTAAAAAACAAAAAACAAAATGGCTTTCCATGATAGTCAGAAGCAGTATTTGTGAAAATACGATACGCTATCATTCTTTGTTACACTTCTATGTTTCATTTCTCCGTGATTTGTTCAATTTACTCATTCCACTCCTTAAACATTGTACTACTATGCACCGTTCATTCATCGTTGTTTTTACCTTTCAACAGACTCTCGAATAATAGTAATTCAAGCAGCTACTGGTTCTAATTGGAAATCACAAGTACAACCCTTTCAAATAATTACCATGATAAATCCATCAGTCAACCATAATCAAAGTAAAACCAAACAAAATCTGCTTCATCCAAATTTGTCATACTAAAAAATTCTTCTTTGCGCATTATATACGAATGATTTAGTGTGACAAATAGGATAGTTTAAGGATAGTAAATTTACAAAGTAAGAGAATATAAAGAAGGCTTACTAACCTGTGTTAGTCGTCCCCGTGTTTGTGAATAATTCTTGTTGCTAGTGCAAATAGAGCTAGTTAGTGGTATAAAGCACTCATAGACACAAATTTACGTGTTGAATGTATTCTGAGATCTGTATTCTTTTTTACTTCATTCTGATCAGAAAGAGTTAATACAGGTGTGAATTCTACCTAAAAGTTAAGTCGTAATTCAAAGTAGATTGTAGAGTCCCCGTGGTTGATGCTGTCCAGTTGTTTATAACAACATCTAAACGTTTAATTCCTGTATTAATATTTTGTATGTAAGCATGCATTTATATTCGAAAAAATAAACCCATTTTTCTAGTCAGTGGTCCGGCCCTTAATCTTAGTTCATTCGGTGGCGTTTAAGTTAATAATCCGATCTCGTAAACAGCGCCCATCAATTGATCAACATCCATAACTCATTCATCATTAATCCTAAACCACAAAACAACTAGATTTGTTCAGTTGGCCGAACTACAGGTTATTATTTATCAGTATCCAATTATTGTTGACATTTATTATTGATTTCCTTAATGGTTATACTAAGTTGTACAAATTCATCTCAGTTTTTTCATTTACCTATAGCAAGAACTCCTTCGGTTTCCGAAACTGCACGAACGTATAGTCGATGTGGTCACTTCTGTATTGCGCCAGCGCCTGCAACCGACCAATCAAATGGTTACTAATCTAGTCGCTGTTGAGTTAGCCTATATAAATACTCGACATCCTGACTTTCTGGAAGCACTAAGTACACATCGGCAACAGGCTCCAGGATTAGAGAATCTGGTAATCTTTTTCTGATTTCGAAAGTTTTTAATGTCCATTTTAAAACTTTAAATTAATTTCCTATTAAATTGTGGGTCACTTTTCATACTGACACTATTTTATGTAGTGTATTAATGGTTTCTGTAATTTTTTTAGTAGTTCGCTAGCTTAAAAAGTCCTGCTTGACTTTCACCTAAGAGTTTGAATCCCAATTTTGTTTAGGCAGTTGGGTAACATCAGTAGCCTTCACAAAACTGTATGACTCAAAGCTGAGTGCATAAATCCGTATTTAGTTAATGGATTAAATGTAATTATTTTATCCAGTTATTAATTAAAATTGTGTCCATTATCTGTGATTTTAATATATCTCTGTTAAATATGGTTTATAGCTTAAACACTTAATAGTTGTTAAATAAAAAATCTCAGGTTCATCTAGAATGTTAGTTGTATACTTGATAAATAGTTACTCTAATATTATTTTCAAAACAACTATCGACATCAAATCTTGATTTTACTTCATGACCTATTACGTAAGTACTGCATCAAAATTTGAGTTATTTTCCTTTATCTTAATTTATTTCACACAATAAATCGATATATATAAAGTCTTTTTATTGATTCAGAACTAAACTTTATCTATTGGAAGTGCTATGAGCGCCATATAGTTCAATTAAGAAATTACTAACAATCAATGAAAAACTTGTCAGTATTACCATCACTATCATTAAACCCTACAACTTGACTAGAATATTAAAAACAACTTTTCCTTATGCTTACTTGTTTACAGTATAAGTGAATATATTTCATTTAAAAAGCAGTCTATCTTTTGATGACAAAAACTGCTAAAATCAATCGAATTTTCGCTTCAATTTGATCCCGATTAATAATTGATTACGGTTTTGTCGAAGTTGTTATAAATTCAGTCGTTGATTATTGATTATATAAGAGTGAATTTATCGAAAGGTTATGCAACCTAAAAATAGTCGAGACACATAATTTTTTACAGAGAATAATATTTACCGATGTTCAACCAGATTAGGTGAACCAACTGAATTATTTTTTTGTCTATTTGTTATGTCAACAACAATACGTTAATAATGAAACTGCCGTTCTTTCGAATTTCAAGTACATATCGGCTGATGATATCGCAAACCGTTATCGAGACGTTATTTTTCAAATTGCTTGGAGAATTCTTGAAAGTCAATAATGAGTTTATTTAAGGTCACTGCTTTTTCGTTGGCTCTCCACTTTTCATGTAGTTCTATGGTTGATTTCGGTATCCTTACAACCGTTGTCCTCTTTTTATGAACGTTAGTGCATGATTCGTTTTCCATATTAGATTAATACTGTTGTATCCAAAAGTTTAATCATTATATACGCTTTTCGTTCATACTTGGACCGCTTCTGCTACCTTGACGTGGTGGTCGGGTTTCCCTTTCGTAATGAACCAATCGAGCTATACTGGCTGGAACAGTCGTTCTTCAAGGTCCTACCATGCCAGACAGGTCGGTTGAAGGGTAGTATGACTAAAAGCAGCAAACCCAAGGTCTGGGGGCGAAGTCGTACTGCTGACTGTACAGAGATGTGATAGCAGTAAGGTGTTTCCTTCAGACAACCAGCATGACAGCGATGCTGCCTCCCCACAAGGAGAGTCCTCGCTTTATCCCACAGATATCCGTTTCTGGCGGTTAGGTCTCAACAAGTACGGAGCTAACACGAAAATTACTCACAAAAACGTCGTATGTAGCCGACCTTAAGCAGTTGTTTCTTAGGCAATGCGGTCACGCTCTCAGGTCACTAAGACCATTCCTAACCCAATTTCCTTTTCAGGTACCTCTAGAAGAACCCTCCCACAGTGTGGGAAGCCGGTAAGTGATAACCGCCACCATACCTCTAACAGCATTCAATATCGCGGTATTCATAATCAATATCCCTCTTCAATTTCTATCATTCTTCCTGCGTCGACTTTCAACTCTAAACTTCCTTTTTTGATCCCCTCCTCCTTCTAATGGATTTCTACTGTTTATTGCATTGATGGATTCTCGTAGACTCATCCCTTCAGGTCCTGAACACGATGAATAACAAAGTCGAATAAGATCTAGGTTAAAGAAAGGTTTAAGGGACGGCCGTTAGCAATGATGGGCAACGAAAGCAAAAGAGAAGGATTAGTTTTACTAACATAGCATCTAAAATACTGGCCTCAGTAATTATCGGCCACCTAACAGAGAATCGTAAACTGCAAACACGAGAGAATCAAGCTGGCTTCAGACCTGATCGTGGCTGCATCGACCACATATTCAACATTCGTCAGGTTCTAGAACATAGTCATACTTACCGGCGTCCGACAATGGTAGTCTTTCTTGACTTGAAAGCAGCATTTGACTCGGTAGACCGCGAGATTCTGTGACAGTGTCTGTCATTGAAAGGCGTACCTCAGAGGTACATAAACCTTGTGAAGGCTCTTTACTCGAACACTACTAGTCGAGTCAGAGCTTATGGCGAACTGTCATCTGCTTTTGCAACCTCAAGTGGTGTCCGTCAAGGCTGTCCACTTTCTCCATTTTTGTTTAACTTCATCATAGACCTATTGGTGGAAATAACATTCTCGTCTACTGAATTCTCGGGTATTGATCTCCTTTCAGGAGGTCCACTTATCGACTTAGAATACGCGGATGATATAGTCCTGTTTGGTGACGACGCTGATAAAATGCAGAGTCTTTTGGTAGCACTGAACAACAATGCTAGAATGTTTGGAATGCGCTTCTCTCCCTCGAGATGCAAGTTGTTGCTTCAGGACTGGTCTGCGTCAACATCTGAACTAAGGATAGGAAGTGAAGTAGTCGAACGCGTCGACAAATTCACTTATCCTGGAAGTCTGATCAGCCTTAATGGGTTGGTGCCTGAACACCGATTACCACGACGCGCAACGCTGACAAGTGTTGTGGATGGATAGAAGAAAGTTAAGGGCGACCAAACCAAAACGTAGCATCAGTGCTTGAAGTCACTAACTTCTAGTTTGAGCCATGTTGATAGATGCGGTCTGCTTGGTTGGGGTCCGTGTGACTATCGTAACCAATGGTTGGAGACTCTTGGTGACATGGCTCAGAATCAACAACAATGGTATAGGTGTATACACCCTTTGTCTTCCCTTAAACTGTGAGATTAAAATTGCTTTTAACCTTTCTGTCTACGAACTAATTCTTTCTTCCTGTATTATATCCTTATATGCAATCTTTCTTTTATGTATTACTACCGTTGAAGTAACTACTTCTATGAATTTGTTGTTCACCTTGTTATTCTAATGAGGTGTGGGAACTTGGACCGCATATATATATATATATATATATATATATGCCTGGTCCTACGTTGTAGCTATCTGACTGACTCGTACTAGGATTTCAGGTGTTCCTATCTGTTGTTACCTCAGACTTTAGAATATATGAATATTCACCAACTTATAAATGTATTAATTTTTGAGTTCATTTTGTTTCATTTGGTATTGTTAACATAAATTTGCTAAATCTTTTTTTACCTGTTTTTCTTCTCCACTTGTCTAAAATTGACACTTACTAGCGATTAACATTTATGACTGTGTACAATTTTTGTGGTTATTTTGATTGATATCATGTTTTTCTTTTAACTTCATTTTTTAAATATAAATATTTATTTTTACTAATTGTGTTCTAGCACCTACCAGCACTACCCTTCTATCTTGAAATGTCAATTTCTCCGTTTTAATTACATACAATCATAAAAAATTATCTGACGATATCATGTGAAATAGTGAACGTTGATGTGCGGCCATTATGTCTATTTGTCATAATACTTTATTTTGATCAACAAACCTCTATACTTATAGAGATTTACTCTTGTTAGTAGGTTTCTCATGGTTTCGTGACATTAATTCATACATATTTCTTGCCTCATGTCAATGATTGGTGTTTTCCCATTATCTAAACCTGTTACATTTTATACTGATTTTTTTGCCAGTCTCTTAACGACCAGCCGGCAACACAGGGATCAATTTCAGGATCTTCACTTCGTACCATTACTGCTTCACATCTGACTCGTCGCCTACCTGGAACTCTTCAGCACGAAGAACAGCCCGGTTCTCTTAATATTAATGGTCCATCCTCAGATCAAAATCCAGAGAATCTGCATATTGGACTAAGCCTTACTCCGGACATTGTAAGTTTTTTCTGCCTATTGTTCCTTTGTGTTCATGTCACTTAGAGGTATAAATTATTTATTTAAATAAATTTTTATTGATACTCTAGACATCTTACAGATACTGTATTTTCACAGGAAGTGGGACTCACATATTTGCTTATCTTTACATGCTTTTAATTAATGAAATTGTGAATTATTGCTTAGGGAGGAAAAAGTACTTTCTCTAATAAATCTTTACATAACCTTAATGTTTTATAATATTGATTTTTAACGAACAGTACGATGTTTATATAACTTTGTGTCACTATTCAATCATTATTCCGTCTTTCTTTTTCGAATGATTATCTTGTTCGTTCATTATATGTATCTTTCGTACTTACGCCTGTTACCCCTCGTGAAGGAGCATAGGTCGCTCACCAACACTCTCCACCCAACCCTGTCCTGAGCCATCCTTTCCAGTTGCTATTCATTTGTTTCATGCCTGCTTCCGATTCCCGACGTAGTGTGTTGTCTGACCTTCTTTCGTATTACTAATTAGACCCAAATATCTTCTACGTACTTTTGTTTGCTTTACAATTTATCAAGACCGTAATTAGATTTATGATGATCTCTTAGAATTAGGTGGATATGCTTTACTTTTATTGTCAACCTTTTTCTTATGATTTTCATTCGTTATACACGTTTATAGATTTTTTGCACTAAATGAATAGTTTCTCGTATATTGTCATTGACTAGTGATTTTCTCCTGTAACTGCTACACTAAATATGTTGAAAAATAAGTCAAGTGCTTAATCCTCTTAAATCATCCTACAAAATTCGTGCATAACAAGTATTTTGTTTCCCATTGTCCATGATGTTGGTCAATTTAGCACAGTGATGACAAATATATTTTTTCTGTAGTATGTTATATCAAATTGTAAAGTTTGACTATTTGTGTCGTGTTTAGCACATAGTATTAGTTATTTGGTTCAGTTAACGTTATATATGTTCTACAACACCACATGATGCTTTTTTAGTGCACATTTTACCTTACTATTCATTTTGGTTGAAACAAAGTACAGTGTGTACAACACACTAAGAAATGCTTCTTGAAATCAATTATTAGGTAGGTATGATATGTTTCTAGTGGCAATGAATTAATATCATAAAGATTCGCGACAAACCTTTTATTTACTCAGTTGTTTAAAATGACGACTGAACTAGTCATATTGCATACCAGTGCTCATTCGCCATCTCAAGATCAGACAATAGGTGAGACATTATGAAAGAGGCACGCTATTGGAGGATACCGATCATTTTTGTATTTAAGGTGTCAGCCTACCTGTCCTTGTTTAAGTCAGAAGAACGAATCCATGCGGTCCAGTGGTTTGTTTCATTTGATTTCCCGTCTAACATTTTCTAGCCTTCTCACTTCCATAGCATGTGAAAGCATCTAAGAAGTCTCCATGTGAATCGGATGTCATGGTACACAATAGGAAGTTGGTGTGTTATCAGCACTATCCTTGATTCTTGTTTTTATTTCCCATCAGGAGACCGTTTTTGACTGAACAAATGCCGTCTTCAAACCTCTCTAAGAGGATCTACAAAAATAATCCCTCTATTTTTAAGAAACTGATTATCTATCTATACTGCATGAATATCTAATTAACAATTCTTTATCAGTTTCTACTGCTCACGAGTTTTCTCACATTAAACTTTTTAACCATAGATTTAATTACTAGCTTTAAGATAGTATTATGTATATTTTTAAGATCCAGACACTATATGATGATCATATCGTTTTTACAGTTTAATTCTGGCTTACCTACTTCAATTTTCCTGGTTAGAGATTATTGTTCATCTTTGAAGGAAAGTTGTTTTTCAGTCTGATATACGAACCTGGAACTACATATAAACAGGTCATATTTATTGTATTATATTTAATACTATTGATTTTATATTTTTCCCATTGTTTATCTTCTCTATATTAGCAAACGGAAGTTCAACAGCATAAGCTAACACCAAATGAACGACATGATTGTGAAGTTATTGGTTAGTTCAATAATATATATTTTAATTGTTAGAACTTGTAAAATAATGTTTATCTTAATGTTTTGTTATTAGTTTTGGCACTCGATGTCAGCTTCTTATATTGAATATTTTAAACTATATTTTTAGATATTTAGAGCTCATAGTCGAATCTCAAAATTGGAACCAAGTTACTTAGCTTCATTATGTCACAATTGAAAGAAGTGTTTTGTCAACTCACTAAAGTGACTAGTTATATCTGTTGTGACTTTAAGTACGGCTAGTTATCACGTGATTTATTCGCCGAACGAAATACGACTTATTCAATCTTAGAACTGTGCTAAACCAACCGGTATGATCAGCCTAGCATCTTTATTGGTTCTTTGTTCGCTTAACCCGTCCAATTGAGTCCAGAACACCAATAACAGCTTCCACTATGTGAATCATTTATTTCAAACATACTTGGTTTATATACAAGCCAAACAGACTGGATCACACCATACGATAGGAAATATCATTTATACAAGATCAAGCCAAAATGTGGCTGTGACCGTGGGAGACTGTAATCAATAAACTGAACATAACTTAAGAACAGTAATTCGTACAATAATAATATATAGGTCAAATATATATATAATATTATTCTATTAATAGTTCTCAGAAATTCGTATTTCAATCTTCGCTAGGATATGACAGTATCACCAAGTTTTTACTGTTTTTTAAACTTTGAAGGTTCACCATTTAATTAAACTAGTTATAGGTGCTGTACTTCGGGTTAATATCCGTGACGTAAAAATCAGGACACAAAAACGAAAACAAAGCGGGAAGTGTAGAGAAATCTTGTACCGTCTCAAGAAAAATCAAAGTATTATCACAAAATAGTCATATATTTCAGATCAACTTTCTATGAATGACAGGAATCACATAACATATTGTGGGTATAATTTGTGAAGGGTAAACCAGTTAGAATTTGAGAGAGTTACTTATGATGTTCATGGTTTATATATTCTAACTGTGAAATAGTCACCATTCAATATATCATCTTATTCGTGGTTGACACCCAACAAAACTTGAAAAAAGTACAATATGACTGTTATATGTATTCTGAAGCTATCGAGTGAAGACTACTCACAGTCGACAATTCTTGTTAGCTTGATAAATTTAGGAAATTGACGTATCTGGACCTTGTTAAAATCAATTAGACATGTTAAGTTCCCTTTTCAGAACAAATTTCCCTGTTAATTGCTTTTGTGATCAAGGTTAACTGTCAGTCTATTTAATTGCTTAGCTAACAATAATGTAAAGATTTTATTATACAATTTTCTGCTTACGTAAATTCACATAAATCGTGAACAGCGATCGTAGCAAAATAGCATGAATTCATTTATTCCCCGAAATCTTTTTAATCTCTTACATCTTAGAGATGGTAGTAACGATTATTCTCAATCAGTATACATACTTCTAACTATTATTGAGGCTTCTGACCACACAATTGAGTGACTTGTAGAATCTGTCTATGAAACTGCAAGATTATTTGCAATACGGTATTGTTATCATGAAAATATGTGCAATTCATCATAAACTACAATTTGAGCACATGTCCAGTCAAAGAAAAATGTTTCCTAAAATAAATATATTTATTTACAGCAATGTAACCTAATGGCTATATCGAATTACTGTCGGAGACAATACCAAAACAAGAACAACAAACACAAAAAGTAATAAAACAAAATTTGAACGACTACAATGGGGTTAAAGCTAATTATTGCAAGTATTTAGAATATGTGATCGCAATAATGAGTAAACTGAATATGTAAATATGCTATACGCTCAAAAGTTATTACGATTGAAACCGGTTACTGAATATTAGTAAGTAGTATAATATTATCTCAAAACTGAATTGAAAAGATATTGCGGAGACAGAACTCACTTGACACCTACTTTGTATCATATTAATGAATTTTATTGAAACAGTCAATAAATATGAAAGGATTATAATAATTTTCAGACGGTTGTTTTTTTAATTAATGCGGAATTTTTTAAGGGAAAATATTTAAAAATCATGAAAATATGCAACTAGAAAATGAAAATGTCAAAAATTAAGCAGTAACGACTGTAAAAAAATAAATTAATGAAGAATTGAATAAGTAGAGCTCATAAAAGATGCAAGAATAAAGCATAAAGATTTGTAATCGAGATCTTGCAATAAAATGTTTGATATTCGATTGTGGACATGTTGACATTCCAAAATATTCGAAAATAATCAATGCGCAATTAAGTCATTTCCTAAAGTTTTTTTATTGAAGCTCTCTGTTAAAAGGTTGGGGCTGACTACGGTTGTCAGTGTCGTGCTATTATCCTGATGATTTTTTATTGTTGATTTATTCAAAATAATGATGATATTACTTCTCATTCAGATACTATCACTAAACATTTTATGAGTGTTTTTTTTTCTCCCTTTAGGGAAACTTATTCGTTCCTATTTTCTAATTGTTCGAAAGAACATACAAGATACTGTTCCAAAAGCAATAATGCATTTTTTAGTGAATTTTGTTAAAGATAATTTACAATCAGAACTTGTCGGTAAATTGTATAAACAAGATGAATACAATACATTGTTACAAGAAAGTGAACGAGTAGCTCAGCGCCGAAGAGAAGCTTCCGAAATGTTAAAGGTAAATAACTCATAGTCTACATAGTCTGTTAATTCAATAACCATATGTACCAACTCATTTGTAAAATAACACCGAGTATTAGGATTACCCTATACATCTACATCTTTTAACTTATTCCTTTATAATTACGTTTATAAAAACTTTTGAATTCATAATTTTGCTTTCGCTCAATCAGTATTTGTCTGCTTATTATTAGAAAGCGGATATATATATATATATATATATATATATATATATATATATATATATATATATATATATATATATATAACGTGGAGTTATAATGAAAAACCAATTGATACGAAATAATTCTCTGTATTCGTGTATTTCTAAATAGCAGTTCATACTATTCCGTAAATCTTTCCTGCTCCAAACCGTAGGAAGTAAAATGCAAATATAAACTGGGTTTCATATTTGTATGGCAATATCTTTTAGTTTATATGCAAAAGAAATCTGATTTGATTCGTACTAATATACTGTTTAAATTTCTTCTTATAGGCTCTTCAGAAAGCCAGTATGATCATCGGTGAAATTCGTGAAACACATTTATGGTGATTAAATATTTCGGTATCATTGTTTGATTTTCAACAATAACAATAATTTACGTGTTTCGTTATTTCCTTCTTGTATTTCTAATATAATTTTTCGTTAATTAAAAGTATACATGTAGGCTTTAAACCGAATCATACTACGTGTGTGTATACATCATTTCTTTTGTGCCATTTAATCAACTATATCCATCTACATTTTGACTGTTATTTCGAAGTTCTTATCTGTTGTTATCTATGCTACCGTTACCACTAATACAACAACTTCTAACCAACGCACACTAAACTCACGTATCATCTTACAAATTAACCTAGCATAATAAGCGAACTATAAAAGATTTACTGTTTAGTAGTTTATAAGACTGATTATCATTCTGCAATGTCTTATTGTTTTCTTCGTAGGTTCCTTTTGTTTGTTATTGTGGTTTTCTCTTTAATTGTAGAAAAAAAATGTACATCTCTCCTAACCTGTGTTTGTAAAAAGGCTTTCTATATTGTAACTGTTCTGCTATTGAGAATGTAATTATCTAAAAGAGCTATTATACATTTCTAACACACTCAATGATCTTAATTCTGCTAACTTTTCTCCCCGGTTTATTAATTATAAGTAGTCCATTTTTAGTCATACTTATTATGTATTTTCTGGGAGAGAGGGTATATAAATTGAGGTTAGTTGACATGATATCCTTTATAGTACTGCCGTGTCTTAATTTTAACCCGCATAGTCCGATATCCGCGGTAACTTCAGAACCAGTTCTGCAGAGGTTGAAAACTGTAGTCTTACCAATGTTCAAATAATAAATTCGGATAAGCTATGTAGATGATGCATTCGTCGTTCTCTTTAAGGATCAGTTGGAAAATATCCACAGTTTCATCAACGGCATCTTCGATAACACGAAATTCACGTTAGAAGCGGACTAAGACAACAAACTACCATTTTTTCACATATTTATCATCAGAAAAAAATATGGAAAGACTGAAAACTTAAATCTATCGGAAACCAACACACTGCTCAAATACTCATTTAAAACAGCAACAGTCCACTTGTTCACAAAATCAACTGTATACAAAGACTTGTAGCACCGCGATTGCGCCGGGAAATAAAAGAAAATATTTAATGGATTTATTCCAAAAAATATCTACGCACGAAATTCCAAAAATTGCTTATCAAACGGACAATCCAATACACAATCAACGAGGAAGACCAGCGAACGAGTAAATTTACACTGCATAAAGAGGATCTCCGAGATAACGAACAGTGTTAAAACTACTATGTATATAAGTGTAGTCTACAAGCCAAAATAATCACTGCAAACCAAAGGGCACAACGACAAACAGGGACAAGTCAACGATCGACAGTAGAAATTCATAGTTGTGTTTCTTTGAGATACTTCCTACTCTTCCTATGTCGCTAGTCATGATGACCGTTATTAGATAACTCAATTGTGTCTAAATTTTAGCAAGCAATCGTTTGTTATTCAGCTCATCACAAAGACGCAAGCACATAAAGTGAATACAAACAGAAATGCGGATGCGAGCGACTGAATTAATAAATAAATTAGTTAAGCTAGCAAGGGGAATGTGTAGGCTGTGACACATGATTGTAATAACATTAAGGTACAAACAAATTGTTGCTGATCGAATGACAGTCTCACATAATTTAAGGCAATGGTTTAGGAGAATTAAACGTATATTGAGGTGATATGTTATAAATTGCAGCTACTGCTACACGCTATGGGATAAAACGGCCACCGTCTTCGTTTACGTCTACATGAACACCAGTTAGTGACGCTACGTACCTTCGCTTATATCAGTTGATAGAAATGTGGGTTCAACTGGGACAGCGTTGAAATATTGTTCAGAAAAAATACAAAGAAAGCCGGGTGTTAAGTTTGTCCTACATTGTTCCTACACGTTCCCTTTCTACTCTTTTTATATTGTTTTATACTACTTATTTACATTCAGTAAACAGTTCTATTCCCAACAACTTTCACACTTATGTTGTAACTCAAGTTGTACTGTAACATTCTGAAATGTTCACATATATCTTTAATGTTTATTGTCCTTATCATTATAATTACTGTATCTTAATCGCTGTAGCCGTTATCCACAGTTTTGTGCATTTGTTTAAACTCAACAGTTTCTATATTGTTTTGCTCTTGGTTCGAGTTTCGGTTGCTCATAAACTGTTATAAAATTTAGACACAGCTATCGGCTGTCTTTGTACTATCTTATGTTATAATTATTCTTTATGTTACTATTACAGGAGGTCTTTGTTATTTTTATTCTTGAAGGACGCGTTTAAACGCCTAGACACATCACAAGTTGAGGTTTGTAACTAAAATTTGTGCATTATTTAATAAAGAACCGCTGTTGTTGACAAATCGTTGTTTTGGAAACTTCGGTTTTCCTTGTATCTCAACCGGGTAACTTGGACGCTTCGATAGATTTAACACCGGGGAATATTTAGAAGCCTGGGACTTTAATCAGGCATCATTCATTAGACGTACCCAAATTTGTCGAACCTATCATTCAACAAGAGAAAGGAATAAAAAAGCACCTGGGTCGAAGTTTAGGTCAGGCAAGAAATCAAACATACAAAACAACGACCATAGATATGGGTAACAACCAACCAAATTTCAGGTCAATAGAACAAGCTGGTGGTCGATTGAGAAGAAATTCCAAGAGCTTACTTATATTTGAAGGACGTGCTGATGATGTTCAGAAGAACTATGAATGCTCTACAATCAATCCAACAAGCAAAGATCACAGCAATATCAAATTTCATCCTCAATCAATGTGTTTTAATGTCTATTACTGAGAACTTACCTGTATGTACTTCCGTGGAGCATCAGTCTTCATAATGAACATCAACTGAAGTATAAAACACAGTGAACAATCTACAAAACTTTTCTCGACATGACATGATAATATTTTTTTAATCTATCCCTATCAGTATAAACATACTAAAATTATACATACACTTGTAGGAAATCAAAATAAGCCTTTAGAGAAGTATACCTATCAAAACGCTATGCATTAATAAGTTTTAAATTTCACAACTCCCAGGAAACTAACAATTTCAAAATTAGAAGGATCACGATTGGTGATTTTGATCAAATAAACTAAAAACATAAATGTCACAGAGATATCAAACACAATCGATTGATCACTGCGTGGTGATAAATGTCATGTATGTCAAGTACATCATGGTGAAGATCTAATTATATCGAACAAGTTGAAATATGGACACCAGTCGAGGTGTATCGAAATTGCGTACAGTATTTCGAGATTGGATAGTGGCAGGATGCAGTCACTAGTAGCGTCTCTCACAAAGAGGCTAGGTGTAAAAAAAGTCCAATCAGTAAGAGAAAGAAATTCACACGAGATCAAAAGTAAATTATCCAGAAAATGACAAGAAGCACGGAAACGTACCCAGAAATAAATCATCAATTAAATGTAAGGCAACATCTGTACACAATCGAGTGCACGTCATTCAATCGGTCACACCACTTCTATCAACGCGACGCGCCCTCGCGCAAGAACGCATACAAAAACACAGACATAAAAAATATACATATGATGCATTCATCGTTCCATTGAACGAGTTGTGCTCCGATCTGTTCCGGTGAATATCGGTCTCCCGAGAGGTGGGAGTGCACACTAATCCAACAGCACCAGCAACAGTATCAATAAAGCAACACCGTCACCAACATCATCGCCATCCAATCATTCCCATCAGGCACATGCACATTTCATTGTGCAGTGAATAACTGATCATTCGTCATATCCAACTTCAAACAATCCTCAACCAGCATGTGCATGACCGACAGATTGTTCAGAATATTGGCATGTAGTAGTTTTTACGGTCTTGTGGATCAGGGCACTGACTACCAAGCATCAACCGATCAGGTTGGTATGTGCATTGCGCGGGTCGAATTGCACAACTCCGTTCAACAGGCGTTTATGCACATGATGTTGGCTTAGCGAGCAATGTCAATTTTGGCATAGTGAGTGATGTGAAACATATTTTAGCAATGATTTTGATATGAGTGTAAAATCACTGAGCCCGACGTGATTCGAACACGCAGCCTTCTGATCTGGAGTCAGACGCGCTACCGTTGCGCCACGAGCTCGCCGCATCATTACCACACATCTTACACTCACTACAACTCAACTCATCCTCCTCCCTCAAACACATCATACTCTAACCGTTGTCTCTTCCTCCACTCACAATCCGCTCACAACTTGTCAATAGGCCAACGAGTATCAACATAATACACACATCACAATCAGTAAGCGCATCTACTCATTCGTTCAGTACAGTACAACTGTACACAATGGCTAACCGTCCACACGACACAACCACACAAACAAGCAAGCAAGTCGGAAAACAGTCACACCAAAAGTCAAACTACTATCCCACTAAATGTATCACCAATCAACAACACGACATACTCACACACCTATTCATTCGCTCATACAAACTACTATTCGACCAATTGGTCAATCGATCCATCAATCCTCCAACCGATCAATCATTCATTCACTGAACTGTCGGTTCGTGATGACTGGATTCATCAATCTCACTGGAACGGAACATCTCTACACACTCGAGTGCACGTCCTACAATCGGTCACACCACTTCCATCACCGTGATGCGCCCTCGCCCTCGCCCTCGCCCTCGCACTCGCACTCGCATTCACGAGCACGCACACACAGATACACTGATATATATATATATATATATATATATATATATATATATATATATATATATATATATATATATATATATATATATATATATATATATAGATGATGCATTCATCGTTCCATTGAACGAGTTGTGCTCCGATCTGTTCCGGTGAATATCGGTCTCCCGAGAGGTGGGAGTGCACACTAATCCAACAGCACCAGCAACAGTATCAATAAAGCAACACCGTCACCAACATCATCGCCATCCAATCATTCCCATCAGGCACATGCACATTTCATTGTGCAGTGAATAACTGATCATTCGTCATATCCAACTTCAAACAATCCTCAACCAGCATGTGCATGACCGACAGATTGTTCAGAATATTGGCATGTAGTAGTTTTTACGGTCTTGTGGATCAGGGCACTGACTACCAAGCATCAACCGATCAGGTTGGTATGTGCATTGCGCGGGTCGAATTGCACAACTCCGTTCAACAGGCGTTTATGCACATGATGTTGGCTTAGCGAGCAATGTCAATTTTGGCATAGTGAGTGATGTGAAACATATTTTAGCAATGATTTTGATATGAGTGTAAAATCACTGAGCCCGACGTGATTCGAACACGCAGCCTTCTGATCTGGAGTCAGACGCGCTACCGTTGCGCCACGAGCTCGCCGCATCATTACCACACATCTTACACTCACTACAACTCAACTCATCCTCCTCCCTCAAACACATCATACTCTAACCGTTGTCTCTTCCTCCACTCACAATCCGCTCACAACTTGTCAATAGGCCAACGAGTATCAACATAATACACACATCACAATCAGTAAGCGCATCTACTCATTCGTTCAGTACAGTACAACTGTACACAATAGCTAACCGTCCACACGACACAACCACACAAACAAGCAAGCAAGTCGGAAAACAGTCACACCAAAAGTCAAACTACTATCCCACTAAATGTATCACCAATCAACAACACGACATACTCACACACCTATTCATTCGCTCATACAAACTACTATTCGACCAATTGGTCAATCGATCCATCAATCCTCCAACCGATCAATCATTCATTCACTGAACTGTCGGTTCGTGATGACTGGATTCATCAATCTCACTGGAACGGAACATCTCTACACACTCGAGTGCACGTCCTACAATCGGTCACACCACTTCCATCACCGTGATGCGCCCTCGCCCTCGCCCTCGCCCTCGCACTCGCACTCGCATTCACGAGCACGCACACACAGATACACTGATATATATATATATATATATATATATATATATATATATATATATAGATAATGCATTCATCGTTCCATTGAACGAGTTGTGCTCCGATCTGTTCCGGTGAATATCGGTCTCCCGAGAGGTGGGAGTGCACACTAATCCAACAGCACCAGCAACAGTATCAATAAAGCAACACCGTCACCAACATCATCGCCATCCAATCATTCCCATCAGGCACATGCACATTTCATTGTGCAGTGAATAACTGATCATTCGTCATATCCAACTTCAAACAATCCTCAACCAGCATGTGCATGACCGACAGATTGTTCAGAATATTGGCATGTAGTAGTTTTTACGGTCTTGTGGATCAGGGCACTGACTACCAAGCATCAACCGATCAGGTTGGTATGTGCATTGCGCGGGTCGAATTGCACAACTCCGTTCAACAGGCGTTTATGCACATGATGTTGGCTTAGCGAGCAATGTCAATTTCGGCATAGTGAGTGATGTGAAACATATTTTAGCAATGATTTTGATATGAGTGTAAAATCACTGAGCCCGACGTGATTCGAACACGCAGCCTTCTGATCTGGAGTCAGACGCGCTACCGTTGCGCCACGAGCTCGCCGCATCATTACCACACATCTTACACTCACTACAACTCAACTCATCCTCCTCCCTCAAACACATCATACTCTAACCGTTGTCTCTTCCTCCACTCACAATCCGCTCACAACTTGTCAATAGGCCAACGAGTATCAACATAATACACACATCACAATCAGTAAGCGCATCTACTCATTCGTTCAGTACAGTACAACTGTACACAATGGCTAACCGTCCACACGACACAACCACACAAACAAGCAAGCAAGTCGGAAAACAGTCACACCAAAAGTCAAACTACTATCCCACTAAATGTATCACCAATCAACAACACGACATACTCACACACCTATTCATTCGCTCATACAAACTACTATTCGACCAATTGGTCAATCGATCCATCAATCCTCCAACCGATCAATCATTCATTCACTGAACTGTCGGTTCGTGATGACTGGATTCATCAATCTCACTGGAACGGAACATCTCTACACACTCGAGTGCACGTCCTACAATCGGTCACACCACTTCCATCACCGTGATGCGCCCTCGCCCTCGCCCTCGCACTCGCACTCGCATTCACGAGCACGCACACACAGATACACTGATATATATATATATATATATATATATATATATATATATATAGATGATGCATTCATCGTTCCATTGAACGAGTTGTGCTCCGATCTGTTCCGGTGAATATCGGTCTCCCGAGAGGTGGGAGTGCACACTAATCCAACAGCACCAGCAACAGTATCAATAAAGCAACACCGTCACCAACATCATCGCCATCCAATCATTCCCATCAGGCACATGCACATTTCA